AACAGATTCTTAAATTTACCTTTAGTTATATATATAATCAACAAACTGATAATAAAAGACTCATCCAATTGTTAATATATAAGTTCATCCATAAAACTGATACTCCATGACCAAATTGTACAACGTTTTTTTATGACAGGGTCAAGAACGTATCATGTTAAATGAGATTCACATGTATCGTTCTGCAGTTTTGACATCCACCAACATTTGAAGAAATGCCCACAATTTTTTTAATGAACTAATCTATTTAACGCTAATTAAAATGCAAATATTAAGTTATCTATAAAATCCCAAATGATCTAATTATTTGCGAATAATATATCTGCTCATCCTGTTTTGTTTGTGTTTTTGTAATTAAATAGCTATATTGTTGAATAATAGGGAAATACTCATTTCATGTTACAAAAAATATATATAATAAATTTCAGCATTAAAATAAATTATTAATTTACCTTTAAATTTAGTCTCCCGGTTTACATAATTAATATTAATATTATTAATTATGATTTGGCCAACTAATTTTATATCATTATAGAGCGAAAATCGGCTTATAGTGGTTAGGTTTGACTGTATTTGGTGGCGAATAATCGATCAGATATAATTGACAATTTAATTTCAGATCAAGATTTCATAATGTTACAACCCATCGATGAACAAAACACAAGATGGAATTCAAAAAATAGTAATAAAGTCCTTTGTACGACCAGTTATTTATAGCGCGCCGCGCCTCCAGTCCAACAATTACCATTAAAATCAACCCCTACAATCAAAATTAGCTAGCACAGTAAGATATTTATAGAAGCCTCCTTTTTGGTAAAAATATATAAATACACACATCAAAAAGATCAAATTACAAAATATTTATTTAAACAAACATACATTCTTTAAACAAAATGAATTGTCATTCTCCAACACCATTATTATTACCATCATTACTATTACTATTATTATTAACAATTTTTAATATCACAAATGTTTCTTCCTTACCGGCACCGGCAGTACCATCAGCAGTACCATCTTCTACATTTAGTTGCTTCGATCATAAAAGACGATCCAAAAAATTAGTTTATTGTTCATTAATTGAAGAATTAGATAAATCACAAAATACCAATCAAACCGTCAATAGTGATAATATGTTTGTAATTGATCTTGATTGTCAAAGTACAAAAGTAGGTTTTTGTGAAAAAGTTAAAAGAAACTTGAATATTACAGGACAAACTATTACCAAAGCCATAAATATCAAAGTACCCATTGTAGTAAAAATCACTCTTAAACCATTAGGCGAAGTAACAATAGGTAATATTATTAATAAAATAACATTTTTTTTATTTTGTTTCGTTTTCTTAAAATAAATTTTCTAAATTTTCATTTATTTGTTTATTATTAGGTCAAGCAGAGCCATCTGGATTGATTGGATTGAAAAGCAGAGATGGAATAGTTAGATTATATCCACAAGCATTGGTAAAACAATTCCAACTTAAAAAACATCCGGAATTTTCACCTGCTGACATAATAGCAGAATTTAACTCTGATTTTGATTTTTGGTTTGAAGGTGATGCAACACCAATTAAGTCAACTCAGTATGGATTCGTACATATGACATTGCATGAATTCGTACATGGCTTGGGATTTTTATCATATTGGGGACCATCTCCTTATTCTAGTTCAGTAAATGCAACAGAATTGGTACCATACGCTAGCATTGATGATTCTACTACTACCACTGCTATTACCAACGCCACCACCACCACTCAAACTCCAACATCACAAAATTCATCAATAATATTTAATGGATTTTATGAAAGTATATTTGACAAACTTATAACATTGTTACCAAGCGGTATGCCATTAACCAATTTCACAAACGAATTAAACAAATTTGCACCAAAAGGCACAAAATTTGATTCGGAAGATGATTTTTATGCCAAGTTTCAAAACTCCGCTCAATATAAAATTGCAACTGATATGTTAAAGCATGCCACAACACCCTTATCATTTGGTTTGTTAAAAAAAGGCTTGGATTTTCAAGATATTGTAGTAAACAACACTGCCAATGATCAATTGTTTTATTTGGAAACTAGTATAAACCCTTATCAGCCGGGATCAAGTATTAGTCATGTGAGTCAAGCGTTGTATTCGAAAAGCATCGAATTTCTAATGAATTTTCAAGAAACTCCAGGTAAAACGTTAAAGGACGCAATTAAAGATGGTGGAAATTATGTCGGAGGTGCAATTGGACCTAAACTTGTATCTATTTTTGAATCGTTGGGCTATGCAACTGCAGACAATCCAAACTCCGAAATCCCGACTTTTCCTGATCCGCCTTTTTATGTTGATAATATTTAAATTTTAATTTTGATTTTTGGTAAAGAAAAAACATTTTTCATTATTTATTACATAGAATATTTTTAGATTGTCACCTTTTATTTTATAAATGTTATAGATGTCAATTATAAACAGTATAATGATTTCCGTTGTGATTATTAATAAATAGAATAAACTATAGAATTAAATAACAAATATTTTTTATAATTTTATCAATATGATGTCGACTAATCTGTAATCAAATCCGAAAGAATGCTGGAAGGTCCTTCCTAGCTTCCAATCTCTACGACTTACTCTAGGGCAATAGCATGCTATAAATAAAATAAAATAAAAATAATAAATTACGATTAAATGCCGAGATAGGATTGTTTATTTCGCCGATGGTTTTGTTTAAAGTATTATTAATTTCAAAGGTAATAAATTTTTACTATAAAAATATTTGGTTACCACGATACGCTTTATTTTACTCGTAAAACAACACAACAAACAATAGAACTTGCTCATCAATTATACTCGTCTAATCAAACAAATTTCTTCTCCTAATTTAACAGTTAAACTAACAATTGCATCTGTGGCGACTAACGCGCCCAATTATTACTATATACCATATTAATGTTAAATTTACTACGTCCACATAACACATGTACAACATTAGAAAATAATTTTTTTTTGAATGTGTATGTACGTATATAATAATAATGATTTTATAAAAAAAAAAAAAGATAAAGACAAATGTTCATTTTATCATTATGAATTGTTGTTAATAGGCAATGATTTGGCAGTAATTTCTTCCAGCCGAGCATACTCCATAACCATCAATTGATCAACCATGAACACCTTCCTTAAAAGAGAGTTAATTCTGAGATCTTCCCATTTGGCACAACGGCCGAGAGCAACATAAGCCTGTCCAGTGGCAAATATCTGTTGGTTAATGCAGACAGATATACTTGGCAAGGTTAACCCTTGTGTCTTGTGGACTGTTAGACCAAAAGCATTCTGTATATTAATCTTCTGCTTG